TTATACAAAATGCAAAACGCTTAGCCGTGTCTCTAATAAAACCGCTGTAACTTCAGAGGTAATGTTCATAAGTTGATTAATGGTTTTCTTTTGTTTTTGATGTACTGCAGAATATTTTTATAAAATCCCAGGCCAGGAAAATCACCTTCATGTTTTTCTGTGTTTTATCTTCAGCTACTTTGACACAAAGGCATCTGCTGTGATGCTCACACCTTTGATAAAGTCTTGCGAGTGTCAGCTTCCTTCTTATAGATACAAAAATACGTAAATGTACTGATCTGAATTATAATATTTCTGACTGTCTGAGGCAAAATTTCCCAGATTCAAATCGAATTGAATCAAATCATGGATCGAATCGATTCAGGACCTTGTGAATCGGAATCGAATCGATTCTAGAAATCAGTGACGATACCCAGCCCTAATGACCAGTATCTTCTGAAGGCTAACATTAATGTTAACAAACTTCAGACAGATGTTGATCTTTATCTGATTTAGTGGCGCTGACCTCTTGTTGTACAGGAACCGCACATTTTAACATGCCAAATATAAACACAGTGTGACTCACACACCTTAAAGTTGAGCTCATTTAGACATCATCATTGTTCATTTGGAGTTACGCTTATGTCCATTTAATAAATGTATTAACTCTTCTGTTAGTTGCTCTAGTCTCTTGAAGGAAATATATTCTCCCTTTTCCCTTTGTTTACTTGCTGGATGGAAACTTTATGCAGCACTTTGTCCTGTACAGATAACTTTTTTCTTTCTTTCTTTTTTTTAGCTTTGTGACAATAACTGTGTGCATCAGCTGGAGATTGGAGCTGTGTCTCCTGGTTAGAAAGATTATTGCCTTAAAGCTGTCGAGTGTTATTATATTATTTTACATTGCTCAACTGCCACTTTTAGTGATCTAAACTTTCCTTTGAAAATCAAACGCTGCGTTGTCTCGACTCCATCCTGACAGGCTGGTTATATCCGAATCGATGGCAGCGTACCGTCATCAGAGCGAATCCAGTTGGTCCACAGATTCCAGAGTGACCCAGAAACCCGAGTGGCCATCCTCAGCATCCAGGCAGCTGGACAGGTACTTGCATACTTATCCAGCAGGCTATGCAGGCTATGCTTGATCATAATAAAGGAAATAAAACACCCTGCAGTCAATTGGAAAATCAGCTAAATAGACTCAATTTTGCATATTAGAGGTAATTATGGTTTGTACTGGTTGCTGTGAATCCTAATATCATAGAGAAATGAATGGTGGAAACGTGTTCTAGTCTTAATAATACACTCATTGACCTCAATTATTCTGAGTGACCAACAGAAATGTTATGCATTCCAATCAAAAGAAGTGGGTGCTTGAAGCACTTACGTATCAATTAGCTGATAATATTCTGCTATTAAAAAGAATTTCAACAAATTAAATTTCATTCAATCGGACTGGATTGTTCCATTTTTGAGGTGGTTGTACTGGGTACTCTGAAACAGATATGTAGCGTGTGTGTTTGTGTGTGTCCTCTCCAGGGTTTGACCTTCACCGCTGCCAGCCACGTGGTGTTTGCCGAGCTCTACTGGAACCCCGGTCACGTCAAGCAGGCTGAAGATCGTGCCCACCGCATTGGGCAGACGTCCTCCGTCAACGTGCATTATCTCATTGCCAAGGGCACCTTCGACACCGTCATGTGGTCCATGCTCAACAGGAAGGTACTGTGGGTGACATTATGGCAGCAAAGTTGGAGAAATTTATGCAAAGCTGCTTATGATTTCACTGGTCATATTAAATTTGAATGATAAATCACCCTTACTGCTCTTGTACTGATTAGGCTCTTCAGTGTTTTTAATGGAGGCAATACTAACATTTGCATATTGCTACGCAATAAGTTTTAAGAGTAATCCAGAAGTTTCTCTTCCTGGACAGGATGTTTCTGTCTCCAAATTACGATTACACATCATGGCTTCCAAACTGATCATCACAAACGAAGTTGTGAATAAATTTAAATGATTTCTGATCTGAAAAATATTTACTTACCACATTTTCGGTGACCAGTTGTTACAGTTTTGCCTTTGTGCACAACCGTAATAGATTTAAGACCTCACGCAAGTAGGTTTGTCAACATAGGACAACAGTGGTGAGTGATCGCAGGATCTTTTCCATGGTTAAAGGGAAAACTCCTTTACGACATCCAACCAAGAGAAAACCCTTTTTCCTTAAACTGTTCACTTGAGTTTCTTATT